CCCCATCCCCAGGGACCCAGTGCAGGGGGTGTGAGGCACCTTCTCTCTTGGAGGGTGTGGCTCCAGGGACATTTTACGTGATTAGACTTCTTGGGTTTGGGGAATGTAGGATGTGGGGTGAGCCCCGAGGACCCCAGGGTGGTGGGGTGGGTGGGGTTAATCATGCTTCCTAGCCCCTTTCCCTGGTCCCAGGATCAAGTAGTTCTGAGAGAGTAGGGGACCTAGAGGCCCAGACTCTTGTAACATTCTGCTTCGGGTCCCAAAGAGCTTTGGGGTGTGATGGCTGAGAGGGGGCCAGGAAGAAGTGTGGGATCCAGCCCTGGGGGGTGGACCTGCCTTTCTCAGGGTTCCCAGAGTCACCTATCCTGGGGCCACCAGGTAATGGTCCAGACCTCTCCCCTCCTCAAGCCACCTTTGTCCCTCCTGGCCCTGCAGTCAGCCTGCACACATGACTCCAGCCCCTATCACGGACCTCTGCCCCCGACTCTTCACCCCTGTATATCTACCTTATTCACCACCCAGGGGCTCTTCCTCAAACACAGACAGGGCTTTGTGGACCCCTAAGCAAGCCCCCTGGGAAGTGTCCTGAGCTCTGTTAGGACCCCTCATGACCCCAGTCCGCATCACTCTCCTGATGCTTCCTCCTCCTGAGTGCTGATGGTTTCGGACCTTGTCCCTGTGTCCTCAAGGCCTCTCCTGCTCTCCCTCACTCCTCTCATGTCACCAGGATTCAGGCCAAACATCTCCTCTGCAGGAGCCTCCCCTGCTCCAAGTGGGCCTCTTCTGGCTGTGTCCCTGTCTTCTCCCAGGCTGGAGAGTCTGCCTCCCACCCTGGCTCCCAGGCCCAGAACAGAGGTTGATGGGACCAGACACTGAGCAAACAAATGAATGAAGGACTGAGTAAATGATAAAGGAAGAAATGAAGGAATGCATGAGTCCATCAATGAATGAACAAAGGAATGCATGTGTGGATAATGAATGAATGAATGAAACAATGAAGGTATGAGTGGAGAAATGAATGAGTGCACGGGTGAACACGTGAGTGAATGTGTAGATATATTGACGAACAAACAAATGCATGCATGCATGAACAAACACATGTATGGATGCGCAGGCGCTGTGGGAAGCAGCACCATGGTGGCACGGGTCCTTAGGATTCTCACTAACAGCCTCATGTGGTCCCCTCTCCCTAGCATCCCGACGTGTCCAGGCCGGAGTCCTCATGGCCTCGCTGAGCCGGGCCCTGCGAGTGGCCACTGCATACCCTCGTCAGAGCCCCCCACAGGGCCTGGGGCTGCGTCCCCTGACCAGCGTTGCCGGATCCCCGACGGAGAAGGGTGTTCCTTACCAGAGGACTCTGAAGGGGGATCAAAGCCTGTCAGCAGCAGCCCAAGGCCCGAGCCGGCCCCTGCCCAGTAATGCCAGTGTGGTGGTCATTGGTGGGGGCAGTCTGGGCTGCCAGACCCTGTACCATCTGGCCAAACTAGGTGTGAGCAGCCCTGTGTTGTTGGAACGAGACCGGCTGACCTCGGGGACCACCTGGCACACGGCAGGTAAGGAGCTGGGGTGCAGGCAGGGCGGGAGGGACCTGGCAGAGTGGGGGACCAGTTCAGGGTTGACACCCAGGCTGTTAGCAGAAGGGGACCACTGAGAAAAGGCTCGGGCCAGGCTGAGGGAGGGACGGTTCGGGGAACCACTTGCTCCCTGAGTTTCTGAAGAACTATGGAGGGGTAGAGGGGGTAGATTCGGGCCTGGAACTGGACCACCAAGGTGAAGGGCTCCCATAGGGAACCCAGGAGGTGGGAAGGGGATTGTTGGGGACACAGAGCAGGGTCCTCCATGCACACGAGGCGCTTCTGCAATTCTCACCCCAACCAGCCAGGTAGCTTGTGTTAAGTCCTTTCTGCCCTAACCCTTTGAGGAGCGGTGTGCCAGTAACCTGGCTTCAGTAATCAGAGTGAGGTCACTGAGCTTCCAGCCAAGATGAGGCACACATAGGGGGCGTGCACGAGCAGGGTGGGCTCCCAGCTCCCACGCTCACACCCACCACTACCCTGTATCCCCGCTTCCCCACTGCTGGGGGCTTCCGTTCATCCAGGATTGGGCTTCCGGCCCCACCATTGGTCTCGGTGGTCTTGAGGAAGGTGCAGAGCTGTTCTATGCCCTCTCCTTCCATTTTTGAAAGACCCACACCCACCTCCTAGGATGCAACAAGGTCCTCTGCATCTGGGGCTTGGTCACAGCACCAAAGCTCAATAAATGGGGGCTTTTGATGCGGTCGCCCCATGAGCTGCCCCAGAGTGAGAGCTCCTGAGACACAGCTTTGATCCTGAGATCCCTGCTCCCCATGGCCTGGGCTCGATCCCCACTACAGGGCCCTGGTTTGCTGGTCGCCTGGGAGCAGGGGTGCCTCTGGCACCTCCCTGTGAGCTGATGGGTGCGGCCGTCCTGCAGGCTTACTGTGGCAGCTGCGGCCCAGCGACGTGGAGGTGGAGTTGCTGGCTCACACCAGACGCGTGGTGAGTCAGGACCTGGAAGAGGAGACAGGGCTTCACACAGGCTGGATCCAGAACGGGGGTCTCTTCATCGCCTCCAACCGTCAGCGGCTGGATGAGTACAAACGGCTCATGTCTGTGAGTTCAAGACCCATCCTGCCTGTCCCTGGCAGCTGGCCACTCCCTAGCCTCGGTTCCCTCATCTGTCCAATGGGGACACTTTTGCAGTGGGAGGCAGGAGGCATCCAGGGGTGGGAGTCAGGATTGTTCCCATGAAGCCAGGTGCCCATGGGGAGGTCAGCCGGCCAGCAGGGCTGACGTGGTGGCAGACGCTTAGAAAGTTTCCTGCGTTTAGAGAAGGCTGGGTATTGGGGAAGGAGTCCTGGTGGCACAGTGGGTTAAGCATTGGACTACTACCTACAAAGTACATGGTTCAAACCCGCTAACTGCTCCTTGGGAGAAAGATGAGGCTGTATGCTCCCGGAAACATTTACAGCCTCAGAAATCTCAATGCAGTTGTACTGTGCCCCACAGGGTTTCCGAATCCTGGTGTGGCACTATGGGCTAATGTGCTGGACTGCAAGTTTGGGGGTTCAAGCTCACCAACTGCCCATTGGAAACCCTATACAGGGTTGGTTGCTATGGGTCCAAACTGACTCAATGGCACTTCACAACAACATAGGGTTGCTGGACTCCTGGTGTAGCATTGTCGGGTCAGCACTGGACTGCAGGGTTGTTTGAACTTCATGGCTGGCAGTTCAAACTCACCGGCTGCTCCTCAGATACTCTCTACAGGGTCACTATGATCAGAACTGACTCGATGTGTGAGCTTATTGGGGCACCACAGTTAAAGTGCTTAGCTGCTAACAGGAAGGTTAGTATTTCAGCCCTGCCAGTTGATTCAAGAAAGGAACTCTGGTAACGTAGTGGTTATGAATCAGGTTGCTAACCGCAAGGTCGGCAGTTCGAAACTACCAGCTGTTCTGCAGGAGAAAGATGAGACTTTCTGCTCCTGTAAAGATTTGCAGCCTCGGAAACCCTGTGCAGGGTCACTATGAGTCGGAACTGACTCCATGGTACTTAACAACAACAACAAATGACCACCTCGTTTTCAGAAGGATGCATCAAGCAGCTTCCCTGACCACATGCTTATCCTGTAGTTGGCTCAAGGGACAGGGCCACGTGGGTCATGGTGACCAGTCAAAGCTCTGGGGAGTCACCAGGAGGGGGCCCAGAGGGGCCCAATTGGGAGGAGGACCACCAGAGGGCCTGAGCCCTGACTCCTGATGGCTGCTTATTTCTCCCGGGCCCCTAGCTGGGCAAGGCCTATGGGGTGGAGTCCCACGTGCTGAGCCCAGCAGAGACCAAGGCGCTGTACCCGCTGATGAACGTGGATGACCTCTACGGGACTCTATACGTGCCGCACGACGGGACCATGGACCCTGCGGGCACCTGCACCACACTGGCCCGGGCTGCCACTGCCCGAGGAGCCCAGGTATGAGGACTGCCGGGCCTGGGTCTGTCCTCCAGGCCCAGCCCCTTGTCCAGCCCCTGCAAAGGTGGAGGTGAGGCTCATTCCACTGAAGATGTTCTGTTTCTCCTTCAAACTGCTGCTGCTCGGCTTCTCACAACCTCTGCCTGTCAGCTTTGCCTTCCTGGGCTGCAGTCACACACACAGTGTAGATGAGAAAAGACAAAGACAAAAAAAGGACAGACAGAAGTCACCCAGAGGGAACCAGTCTGGACATCTTAGTCCGCTTCACACCACACTTGTTTGTTTTTAAGGAGACAGTGTAGACAGGCAGGTCTCAGGGATTCTGCGGGGTTGGCCCTAGGGTCACTGCAGTCAAGCAAAGATCATAATTAAGGGAGGAACATGCATTCTGGGGCATCCTGGTGTGGTGCTGTACAATTAGCGCTGGACTACTGACCTAAAGGTTGGCGGTTCAAACCCACCAGCCACTCCTTGGACACTGTAAAAGTCAGGACTGCCTCGACGGTAGTTCCCAATAAGTGCAAAGATCATTTGTGTGGACACAATGTTGTAGTCTTTGACACACTTGTTGTGTAGTCTTTGACACAGTGTTATAGTCTTTGACACAGTGGTGTAGTCTAGGAAGTATGCATAGCATGAGAACTAGTGTGGAATGACCACAGACAACGTGTCTGACAGATTTGTGGGGTGCAGCCTGGCCATAAACCCCTGTCTATCGAAACTACAGTATTTGCAAAGCACAACAAATCCAAATGTGCTTGTATATTGTGTGTGTGTGGATAGTATATATGAGGGGGCTTCAAAAAGTTTGTGGATAAATGGAATGAAAGGATAATGGATTTTTTTTCTGTGAACTTTTTGAAGTTCCCTTGTATAAGTACATCTGTAAACACATATTTATATATAACAAAATATACACAACAGTTGTGGTCCAGTTGTCTCTGACTCACGGACACACACGCATGTCAGAGTAGAACTGTGCTCCGTAGGGTTTTTAATGGTTGAGTTTTCAGAAGTAGGTTGTCAGGCACTTCTTCCGAGGTACCTCAAAGTAAAATCAAACCTCCAACCTTGTGGTTAACAGCTGTATTAGAACCAAACCGTACATTGTCTTGTGACCTTTTCTGCCACAAACATATGCCCATTCGTCAAATGAATCTCGATTTGTAAGAACAAACTTGGCTGCTTCTTACCTTTGGAGAAACCACCTCTTTTATCTGGGAATGTGTGGATTTGATTGTGTTCCCCACACTGTGGTCACCTGCAGCTCCAATGGGTCACTGTTGGGGTGCCATGTGGCCCCAGCTCCCATTGAGGACAGAGTTCTGGTGAAGGGGTGGTCAGTGCCTGAGGGAGCTCTGGTTGGCCCTGGAAGTAATTCTTTCACACCCAGGTCATCGAGAACTGCCCAGTGACCGGCATCCAGGTGCGGACGGATGACTTTGGGGTGCGGCGAGTTACGGCCGTGGAGACAAAGCACGGCACCATCCAGACGCCCTTCGTGGTCAACTGTGCAGGTGGGAGGGTGGGAGCTTTTCCTGGGAACAGTGACCACCTGCTGCCCCTATACCTGGTTGGCCTTTGCAGGGCTTTTCTCTGGGGCAAGAGGGGCAGGGCCTAGGTGAGCTCAGGTGGAGTCATTGTTAGAGCAAAGGATCTGAAGATATTGCAGCTCCAGCCAGGTAGAGGGGAGCTGACCGGTGTGCTCTGCCTACAGGAGTGTGGGCCGGCGCTGTGGGGCGGATGGCTGGGGTCAAAGTTCCACTGGTGGCCATGCACCACGCCTATGTTGTCACCGAACGCATTGAGGGCATCCAGGTGAGTGAGGGCCCAGGCACTTCCCGTTGGACTGTGAGAGGCACAGGGTCCTAGTTCTGAACCCCAGCCCAGTCGCCCACAGACTGTGCGACCCACATGGGTCCCCTCACCAGCTGGCCTCAGTCATCTCATCTTCAAAATGGACATCTTTGGTGGTTTGAGAAGTAACTTGTCCTGCTTGTCCAAACCGCAGTCCCAGCTTGCCCCCCTGGGCACCCAGTACTCTGTACCCCAGTGACCCAAGGAACCCTGGGGTCCCTAGCCGCCTTGCTCTCCTTCTCCACACGTCTCTTCTGTATGGCGCTGGGGGCTTCCTGCCACCTGGTCACTGACCATCCCCTCTCTCCATCATTGATTCCCCCTTCCATTCACTTCTTTTTCTACTCATCCGTTTGTTGTTAAGTGCTGTCGAGTTGGTTCCAACCCATTTCTGAGGAGCAGCTGGTGAGCTCGACCCACCAACCTGGCAGTTCAAACGTCTTTGCAGTCTGGCGCATTAACCCACAGCACACACCAGCACTTCAGTGCTTTATATCTTCCTCCCTCCCTCCTCTCCTCAACCACACTCCACCTACCCTCCCTCCTCCTCTCCCCTCATCCCTCCCTCCATTTATTTTCCATTATCCTGCCCTCTGTCCCTCTTGCCATCCGTTTATCATGCATGTCTCTGCTGATCCCTGTATTCATCCAGGCATCCATCTATGTGTTTGTTTTTTCCAGCTGTCTGACAGTCCACCCATCATCCAAATATCCATCTGCCTCCCATCCGAGGCTGTAACAGAGGGAAAACCTTGTTCTTTCCTGGGTCTGGGGAGCCGTGAGGTTGAAGACAAGCAATTCCAGAGCAGGCTGCAGGGGGCACTGGTGTGCAGCAGAGAGACAAAGCTCTGGAAAGATGAGCAAGGGGCAGAGAAGGGGTAGTACCGGCAGTTCAGAGACAGGGCCAGAGTGTGGGGGCCGTAGAGGGAGCGGCGAGCCACCTTGTTTGGGGTCAGGAGCCAGCTTCATCTCCGTGTGGCTGTGATCCCCATCTGGCTGAGCCGGGCTGATATATGGACTGAAGTGGTGGGTGGGAGCCGGGGCTTGACCCCCTCCTGCAGCTGGCTGGGTGTGCTGGGCAGCCTTTTCTTGTGGACACACGTAGAAAGATCGAGTTTGGCGTCGTCCAGTAAGCCGTCCAGTAAGCACTGACTGAGGGCTGCTCGGAGCTACTGCAGTTCTTGTCCTGAAGCTCTGAGGGAGCTGGTCCCCCATTGACCACCAGGGGGCGCTCTTGGGCTGCAGTGGGCTCCTGATGGCTGGGTCCGGTCAGGGCAGACAGGAGAGCAGGGGTCCGTGTTAGGGAGGGTGTGTGTGGGGAGGATGACCACAGGGTGTCCATAGGGCCAGGACTGAGGCATTCCATCCCTCAATCCCACTGAGATGCCTGACTTTGAGGCACTTTTTTGGGGAGAGTTTGACCTGTGAACCTGAGGCTGGGGTCATGCTGGGGCAGGATACGTTAATGACAGAAGGGGATGCTGTGTGCGTTGGGAGCTCGGACCCATCCTGGCTGTTGCAGCACTCTGAAACTTCATTGGAGGGAATTGGGGCTTGGGGAAGGGATAGGGTCACATGGCTCTATATCCCATTGGTTACCAGGGGTGTCTGAGACCATGGGCCTACCTTCACACACTGGGTGGATTGGGAAACTAGAAATGGACCCTCACACTGCTCTGGAGGCTAAAGTCTGAGTTTAGGGTGTCAACTGGGCCACGTTCTCTTGAAAGGTTCCGGGCGGAGGGGGAGTCCATCGTCTTTTCTCCTGACTTCTGGTGACCCCAGGCAGTCCTGGCTTGTCACTGCGCCATCACCTCATTGTCACATGGTCGTCTGCTCTCTGTGTCTCTTCTCTTTTTGAAAGACACCACTTATATGGGCTCTGGACCCCTCCCCACCCCCCCTTGCCGGACTCCAGTCTGACCGCACCAGCAAAGACACTGGTGCCAGAACATCGTCATAAAGGTGGGGGCCCCAATCTGATCCATAGCAAGGGGCTTCCTGAGGTTGCAGCTGGGTCCCATTTGGAGAGTCAGAGAGCAGCTTCCTTCATGCAGGTTCAGAGTGGGGTGCGGGGAGACCTGGGAGGCTACTACTGCCCAGACCAAGTGCGTACCCACCTGGCCACCCCTCTGCACTTTGGGCCAGTTGTGTGCTGGCCGATGCTCCCCACACTTGGTTCCGGAGGCTAGAGTCTGAGCTCCAGAGGTCTTGCTCGCTCTCCAACAGCACTGGCAGTTTTTGGTGTTCCTTGGTGCTCCTGTTTTGTAAGACACCACTCAGGAGGGCTGAGGACTAGGACCTTGTTCAGGTGTCTTGTTACTCATTTAGCTGACAACATCTGCCAAGGAAAGCCCCGTTTCCCCACACAAGGGTTCTGTTCACTGTGTGGACTTCATCAGATGTTCCGGGGGAGCTGTGACCCATTGAGCTCTGTTCTTCCTGTTCCTGTCTGCTCACCTGGGCTTCTGAGACCTGCCGGCACCTTCAGTCTTCACAGGGCTGGTGGGCATTGTAAGGCCCTTCCACCCAGAAACCTACAAAACCTTCCTGAGCTTTCTCTCTCCCTGTTCTTCTCTGTTAGCTCTTCCTGGGACCCTTGTCAGGTGTCTGTTAGATCTTCATGTCAACCTTGTGATCTCTACCCTGGTCTCTGTCTCCTTGTCTTTTTTTTTTTTTTTTTTTTGACTTTGGAGAGATGGTCTTGGTCTCCCTCAGCTCTTCTGTGGAACTTCTTTGTTGTTGATCACACTAACCTTAAAGAATTCTTTCCTGATTTTAGATTGCTCCTTTCTCATAGTCCCTTGTTTGTGGGCCAAATACCATCTCCTGTCTGTGACTTTCTGGTTGTAGTTTCTTTTCTGAGGATGAATTTCTAGCTGATTGCCAGTCAAAGAGGATGGGTCACTTGGAGGACTTAAAAAAAATTTTTTTTAATGCTTTATCGTGAATTATGTGATACTTTACATGGGAGGACATTAGCTTCACGTTGATCCCGCTGTATATTGATTCCTTGGCATGGTTACAATGCCTTCCATACACCATCGATCAACCAAAGCGTATACCCCGCAAGCCTGCCCCCCATTCGTCTGCATACCGCCCCTCTCTCTCTCCGGCTCCAAAGTCTCCAGCCGCTCCATCTCCCCATGTCACCGTCTCTGCCTTGGAGGATTTTTTGCAGGGAGTTGAGCAGTAGCTCTGATGTCAGCGTCCAGAGCTCTCTCGGGGCCATGCTGCATCTCCTGCCCAGTGTGGATGGCAGGGTATGGGTGTCAGCCCCATCCTTACCCCTGCTGCCTGGGACCCACTTCTTCAGAGCACAGTGTCTGCACAGGGGTGGGAGGCACCTGGGTCTAGTCCTTCAAGACTCTTTAGCCAACTCACCTGTACTCACAGCTACCTCATGACCCTGCAGAGGGCCCTGGGACCCGTGTACACTCAGCTCTGGGGGTCCATCAGGTGGACGCGCCCAGCCTCCCCACCCCAAACACCAACTGGGTCTCTCCTTGTCCACTGGACTCTCTCCCACCCCCTGTTGGCATCTCCTACGTCATCACCAATATTTATCAGGTGCACCTAAGGAGCTCTGGTAGCGTAGTGGTTACGAATCGGGCTGCGAACCACAAGGTCAGCAGTTGGAAACTACCAGCTGTTCTGCGAGAGAAAGATGATGCTTTCTGCTCCTATAAAGATTTACAGCCTCAGAAATCCTGTACAGGGTCGCTATGAGTCGGCACCGACTCCACAGCACATAACAACAACAACAACAACAACAACACCTTTCCCTGTCCACCCCCTTCCTCGTAACTCTATGGCTGCTATCTTATGAGGACAGACACCTGGACGGGGCTGCTTTCCCATTATGTGTCACTCGAAGTCCCTATTCATGCTGTCCTCAAGGGCCCACGACAAGAGGAGGTAAGGGGCTACTGCCGGCTTTCGTCCCCGCTGACCTGAGTCTTCTCTGCTCCACCTTTCAGAATATGCCCAACGTCCGGGACCATGATGCCTCTGTCTACCTCCGCCTACAGGGGGATGCCTTGTCTGTGGGTGGCTACGAGACCAACCCCATCTTCTGGGAGGAGGTGAGCAGCTGACACCCTGCGGCATTGCAGGTTGGAGGGTGATCTGGGCTGACCTCAGTGTGGAGAAGTTTCTTCTGGGTGCAACATTATCCACACACTTGTGGAGAAGTCAGGGCAGGTCCCTGGGCCTCATGAGGACTAAGCTCCATTGTTCTCTGGCCTCTGAAGCCAGAATGGGCCAGGAGGGAGGACGATGAGAGGTTGTAGAACTGGACAATGCTGACGTCAGAAGACGGGAAACCACGTGACCCACTGACCTTCAGCTACAGCGGCCTAGTCCCCAGACCTGGTGGCTCTTCGGGTGACCGCTGGAGTGGAGTGCAGGGCCCCTATATTCATGCATTTAACCCACAATGACAAGGTGGCCTTGTGGACTAGGGAGCTCCATTTGCTGGAACCCTGCCCCTGTATTTTAATGGGGAGACATACAGCCATTAAGCACACACATGGGGATCCTGATCCATGCACTGTCTGCCATGAGAGGCTGGCCTGGCAGTCAGAGCAGGCTTCCTGGAGGAGGTGGTGTTGGGGGAGGGGCCTGCACAGGGGGAACAAGATGAGTATTAGTGGTCTGAGTCAGTGGCTACCTGGGAAGGAGGGAAGAGGCCCTGAGGTCAGCTCTAGTGTACCCCAAAAGCAGATGGAAGTAATATGGCGGGGTAGGGGAAAGGTGGGCCTCATGTGTCCTCTTGGGGGGATTCTAGGCCAGATTATGAGAGAGGGGAGGGCTGATTCAGGAGGACTCCTGGAAGGGGGTGAGGTGGCCAGGTAGCCTGCAGCAAGCCAGGCTGAGCCAGTGAGGTCTGCCAGGAGGGCAGTTATGAGGCTGATCTGCCCACTGAAGGGCAGACCATGGGGGAGACAGGTCAAGAGGACCTGAGGGTGACCACCCCAGTCCCTGGTAGGGAGCCGGTATCTGTTTGCTGTTCTTGGGGACACCGTCCCTTCCCAGCACCCCAGGCATGTCCCTGTCTGGTCCACACAGGTGTCAGACAAGTTTGCCTTTGGCCTCTTTGACCTGGACTGGGATGTGTTCACCCAGCACATTGAAGGTGCCATCAACCGGGTCCCTGTGCTGGAGAAGACGGGGGTCAAGTCCACGGTCTGCGGCCCAGGTGAGTGTGGGGCCTAGAGCTGGACCAGTGACAGCCCTGATGGTGCCCACGGCCACTCCAGTCCAGGGGCCTCGTGGACACAGGTCTCAATGGGGAGCACTGAGGTGCTGGAGCCGGACGCGAAAGGTGAGGGCTGTGAGGACACATGTTCCAGGCTGTGGGGATTTATGTGGGGGGCTGTGAGGACATATTCAGGGCTGTGGGCATGCATGTTCGGGGTTGTGGGGACTAGTGTATTTGGGTCTGTGGGGATGAGTGTTTGAAGCTAGGGAAACATGTGTTCTGGGCTGTGGGGATGAGTGTTTGAGTCTGTGGGGACGAGTGTTCTGGGCTGTGGAGACACGTATGTTCGGAGCTATGGAGACACGTATGTGGGCCTGTGGGGATGTATGTTTGGGGCTGTGGGGACTCACATTCTGGTCAGGGACAGCAGCTTGTGTGCACATGTAGAAGCAGGGACTCACTGTACCCTGGTGGTCTCAGTGGAATCACGGGGTGGGGGTGGGGGACCTCTTCCCCGTGAACCCCAGGGCCTCCTTACTCCTCAAGGAAACAAGAGATGGTGGATGTGAAGATGCGGTCCTTCCCAGAAAGGAAACTTTGTACCCTGGGCTCTGGGTTGCACCTTGGTGACCCCGCTGTACCTTGGAGTCCTTGCCTGTCAGTTGGGTGACTGTTCACTGGGGCTGGTGGGGGTGGGGGTGTGAGACGTCACAGGTAGGGTTCCTGGTTGGACTGGGGACCAGCAAGATGTGGAGACTATTATGGGCATCAGTGGGCAGAGTGGCCAGCGAGTGTGATTTGCTCAGGGTCCCTCATGTCCCGGAGGCTGAGCAGAGAATGTGGGAGCTGCCCCCACCCACAGGCATCCACGCATGCCTCCCCAGGAGACCCAGCTGGGCACAGACGCACAGTCAGTGGGGGCCACAGCTAACCTCCCGGCTGGGCGTCCTGCTGTGTGGGCCTGGCAGTGCCACACTCAGACCTAAAATAGCTCCCTGGGCTGTGCGTGCCGACGGAGCTCCTTGTTGTTAGATGGGAGGCTGGGCTCGAAGCCCTGGTGGGGGAGGCACGTGTGGGGACTGTCTGGCTCTGGTGTCCCAGTTGTGATGGAGCTCCCAAGTTGGCACTGGAGTTTCTCTGTTGGGGCCGTGGGTTGTGTCCTTGGGCCTTCAGGAATGGCTAGGCTGGGCTTCACCCCTACCAGCACCAGCAAAGCCCTAAGACATAGTCCTTGTGTAACCTGACTCCCTGCATGTCCCCTCCGGAGAGCTCTCTCTTCAGAAACCCCCTTCCCTGCCCTGGAGTTGGTCTCAGCAATCCCAACTCTCGCTGCCACCTTCTTCTCCAAGATGTCTGGGCCACCTGCCCCACACACTGTCTCAGAGAAACACCCAGCTTCTTATCTGGGGTGACTCTGAGCACCCAGCCGCAGGCTGCTCCCCCAATGTCCTACCTGCCTCCACCCACCTACCAGTCACCCAGCTGCCACCCCACCCCTCAGGGATGCCAAGCCTGCCCCACCTTACTGCTGGCAGCCCTTCACCTCAGAGGGTCCAAAGATAGCTGGATGCCAGTCTAACCTCAGCCCCCCTTGCCCCTTCTTGTTTTCTTTACCAGAGATTCATTTTTATTGATTTGCATGTTTACTCAGTTTGCCTCTGCTCTGTGAGCTCCCCCGGGGGCTGGATCTCTCTGGTGACACTGTGTGTCTGGCACAGGATGGCTGTTACAGATGTTTGCACACTACCTAACTCAGCGCTGTGGGATAAATGCAGCAGCCCAATGTGACAGATGGGGAAAAAAACTATGGCTCAGAGAGGCCCAGTGACTTGTTCAAAGTCAAATAGCTAGCTAGCAAAGGGCAATGCCAGAATTCGAACCCAGGGCCTGGCTTTGAAGCCCATGATTTTATCATCATACCTGAGGGTGCCCTGTCCCACAGTCTGCCTCAGCCTGAGGCAGCATATAGAGCATATGAGCAAGCATTTATCAAGTCCCTACAGTGCCCTGGTGGCATCGTGGGTTAAGCATTGGACTGCTAACCACAGGCCAGCAGTTCAAACCCATCAGCTGCTCCTCAGGAGAAAGATGAAGCTGTCTACTTTCGTAAACATTTACATTTCGTAAACTCTAACGAGCAGTTCTACTCTGAGTCTGTATGGGTCAGAAACAACTCCAAGGCAGTGGGCTGGGGTTCTGGGATTGCCTCAGTATACGGAAGTGTCCTCACGGCTCTCTCAGTCACGAGTCTCCAGTTGTGACAAAGCCAGACCAGAGTGTAGTGACAGGGAGGCCTAGGCACTGGGAAGAGGGTAGGGGAAGGCCCCTTGTTGGCAGAAAGAGAGATACACAGGAAACAGATCTGGACTCTGTGGGGCAGAACCTGGCCAGCTACAGGGGGCAGGAGGAATCAAGGTGGCTCCCTGGTGGTACCTGGGCTTTGAAGGATGCGGGATATCTGAGCGAAGGAGGTGCCTACAGACCCCTGTCCAGATTACTGCCCCCAATTGGAAGATCCCTACCCCAGGTGGCTGCAGAGTGGAGACAACACCAGGCACCCCTCCCTTCCAGAATCCTTCACACCTGACCACAAGCCGCTGATGGGGGAGGCACCTGAGCTCCGAGGGTTCTTCCTGGGCTGTGGCTTCAACAGTGCAGGTACGTATAGGGCAGGCATGTGCACTGCAGTTGTGAACAGCCTAGGTGTGTACAGCACAGGTGTGATCAATGTGTGTAGTACAGGTTTACATGTGTGTGGTGTGTACAGCACACCTGTGAGCAGTGTAGGTGTGTACAGCATTGCTGTGAGCAGCACAGGTGTGAGCAGCACAGATGTGTATAGCACAGGTGTGAACAGGGCAAGTGTGTTTAGCACAGGTATGAGCAGCACAGGTGTGTGTAGTATGAGTGTGTGCAAAACAGGTGTGAGTACCACAGGTGTGAACAGCACAGCTGTGAGCCGTGCAGGTATATGCAGCGCAGGTGTGAGCAGAGGTGTCCTCAGTACCCCTAGGAACTCAGCCGTAGGCCTTGATGGTAGATGGAGGAGAGCTGGGGCTGGTGGGCTTGGGGTGCTGCCCAGAGCCTGGGGAGGGGGCTCTAGGGCAGACTGGTGACTGCAGCTCCCTCCGTCAGGAATGATGCTAGGTGGCGGCTGTGGGCATGAGCTGGCTCACTGGATCATCCACGGACGCCCAGAGAAGGACATGTACAGCTACGACATCAGGTGGGTGCTGTGATGGGCTGTTTAGGAAGAGCCCTCCTTGAAGTGTCAGAGGGCGCCTGAGCTCAGCAGATCACAGCCCTCTACAGTTTACAGCATCTCTTGTCCTCCCACTTCACAGGTAGGGAAACTGAGGACCGGGGCTGGGAGTATACACAGATCCTGGCCAATGAATCCCTTACACTGCTCGCTAACAGGGTGACTGGAATAAATCAGTCCCAGTGCAGAGCAAGGTCCTCACCTCTAACAGGCCGGGCTGCAAAGGCTTTTGGGAGTGTGTTCAGGTAGGGTCTGCACACGGCACACTAATGGAGCACATGCCTAGGCATTGATGCTAGGGACCCGGTCACCAACTGACTTCTGCAAATGCAGCAGAGTGAGGCAGGGCCCCTCTGTGAGACATCAGAAAGTTCCGGCTTCTCACATGCTGTTCCCCATGGGCGTGCTCTTCCCAAGCCTCCTCTGCAGGGTCAGATCTCTCTCAAACGTTTCCTTGGATAAGTACAGCTTTTGCCCCTCCCTCTAGCTCCCAGACCCACGACAGGATGTGTGTGTGTTTGGGCAGACTAGGGGGGTCGTGAACACAGAGGTTCTGTTTCAGACTGGCCACTTGCTCCTGGGCCTTAGTTTCCCCATCTGTAAAATTAGGTCAAAGACTCTTGGGGCAGTCCAGGGGTGATTGCTTTTTGCTATTGGCCTCCCTGGAAACAGCCACAGAAATGGGTGGGCAGCAATCATGCACCCTGTCTGGTGGGTGTCCTCAATCCTGAGACACAGAGAGGAAGGAGTAAATCTGGTGGGAGCAGAGCTGATGGTCAGTTTAGAGACAGTGGGAAGCTGTGATTGTCTGAGGACACAGCTCTACAATCTGCAGCCCTGCCTCCCCCTGCCCCCCCCCCCACGCCCTACCAACCTCCACCAGCATGTGGAGAGGGAGCTCCAGGTATGCACATGACCAGAGAGTAGAGGCTGTTCTTCCCTGGCCCGTGGTCCTGGACTCCTTGTCCTGGGTATCAGCCATGTTCCCTGCTGACCTTGAACTGGGCAGGTCAGTGTGGCAGAGGCTGGACACTGCAGTCTGGTGGTTCCTGACCCCAGAGCCACCTCAGCCCCTCTGCTCTGCAGGGCCAGAGATGGAGGTGGAAGGGTTGTGGTCACCCTCTCCCTCTGTTGCTCTGTGCACCTCTAACCATACCCTCCCTGGCCTGCTGAGGTTTGGGGAGAGAGCCACTGAGGGGCCCTGTTCGGTTCCCACAGACAGATAGACAGACACTGAGACCCCACCCCACCCTTCCATGGTGACTGGCACAGCTTGGGCCACATTCTCTCAGGGTTACACCCCTGAGATCTCCCGGATAGCAACGCACCTGAACAGCAACACTGCAGAAACAAGAAGGCTGCAGGGACCTCAGGATTGGGGAGTCCACATGCCTCTGATAACAAACAGCAAGTCAGAGGTGCCCGGGATGGGGGACGCGCCATCCAGGCCTGAAGAAAGCAGAGCTGGGGTGGTACTGTCCCCACCTCAGGACCTGTTCTCTGTAATCCCAAGAGCAGAGCCACTTCACAGTTCCCCATGCCCAGAGGTATAATCATAGGAAATCGTTCAGGGAGAAGAACTTCACGCTTGGCAAAGTGGAGGGTCAGCGAAAAAGACAAAGATGCCCAACAAAATGGACCGACATAGTGGTACCAATAAGGGCTCAAACAGCAACAGCTGTGAGGATGGCACAGGACTGGGCAGTGTTTCCTTCTGCTGGACATTCAGGGTCACTATGACGTCAGAGCTCCCTCACGATAACACCCACAAATGGCAAACACTGAAATTGCACGCTGTCCAAACACCTGGTCTCATCTTTTGTTGTTGTTAGATGCCATCGAGTTGGTACTGATTCATAGCAACCCTCCGTACAACACAACAAACCATCTCCCAGTCCTGGGCTGACCTCACAATCGTTGCTATGTTTGAGCCCATTGTTGATGCCACAGTGACAATCCATCTTGTTGAGGGTCTTCCTCTTTTTCGCTGACCCTTCACTTTACCAAGTTTGATGTCCTTCTCCAGGGACTGGTCACTTCTGACATGTCCAAGTATGAGAGATCAAATCTCACCATCCTGACTTCTAAGGAACACTCCGGCTGTACTTCTTCCAACACAAATCCGTGTTCTTTTGGCAGCCCATGGTACTTTCAATATTCTCCTCCAACACCATAACGGTCTTCCTTATTCGCTGTGCAACTTTTCCATGCATATGAGGTTATTGAGAATACCACGGCTTGGGTCAGGCTGCTGGGGCTGCCAACTTCCAGGGTCTGGCAGTGGCCTTCAGGTCATGGGCAGGTAGCTCCGAGAGCCCTGGGTGGCTAGGGCAAGGGGGCAGTGTCTACCCACCCTCCTGACCCAGGAGCACACCCAGTGGTTGCTGGTAGTATGAGCACCTGGCCCTGCCTAGCCCACCTGCCTGAGGGGGCAGCCTGCCACCACCCACAGGCACTCAGTGTCCTGCCCTCTGGGCCTGAGCGAGAGTGACCAGGAAGACCCAGACCCACAGAAGATGTGGTAAAAGGAGGGGGAGACACTGGGCCCCAGGGAGATCGAGGCACTGGGCCCCAGGGAGCCAGACATGCAGACATTTGTATGGTGGGTACAAATTGCCCCTGCTCAGAAGAGGGGCCAGAAGCACTGTAGTCACCCCCATCTGAGCTAAAGAGAGGGGCTCTGAATCTGTCCCCATATCCCCCGTTCCTTGCTGAGGAGGAGGAGAACTGTGAATGATCTATCCATCCACTGGCCCCAGGTTCCCAGGGCCCTTGATGTGAACACTGACCAGGTCATTTGGATGCTAAGCCCCTCACTGGGGTACTCAGAGATGCCCAGGAAGGTGCCATGCTCAGCCCCGGGGACCTGCTCACCAGTGCCCCTTGGTGTCTCCATGTGGGGCAGTAGGGGTGACCTGAGCTCCCCGAGGTGGTGAGGAGACGCCCAAGCACTGGCCTTTGGTCTGAGGCTGGGGCTCAGTTCCAGCGGGGTCTGGCTGGCCCCTCCTCCTGGTGCTGTTCCAAGGTACTGACCCGCCCTTGTCTGTCCAGACGATTCCATCACTCACTTACTGATCACCACCGCTGGGTCCGTGAACGCAGCCACGAGTCCTACGCCAAGAATTACTCTGTGGTTTTCCCCCACGATGAGCCCCTCGCTGGACGCAACATGCGCAGAGACCCCCTGCATCAGGTATACCCCTAACCAGCTCCACCGCGGGCCGGGGCAAAAGGCAAGGAGGCTGTCTGGAGGATTTTCCCCTGCCCCGGGGGATGCTGGCAGATGGCAGGGCGGTGCAGGTGGTGAGCTGGGGATGTGTGGCTGGATAAAATGGAAACATCTCCTGATGAGGAGATCACATTCCAAGGGAGGAGACAGGGAAGACACAGGTACACAGGTGCTGGATCGGTCTGGGGACAGGTGTGTGCGGCTCCTGCTCTAGAGCCTGCCTGAGATGCCCTTCCCACTTGGTAAACTTCTACTCATACGGTGAAACCCAGTATCAGGTGCCCAGGGGAGGAGCCTATGTGTTCCAGTCTTTGTGGCTCCTCAGCACTTAGCATGGGACCTGGCTCCTCGAGTAGCCCAGGGAGGGTGGAGGGAGGCTGTAGCAGACACTGAAGCTGGGGAGGGGCCTCCCTCATCAGGAGCTCTAGATCTGAACCTGAGAGGAACTCAGGTTGGACCTCTGGAGAGGAAGCCAAAGTGACCAGCAGTCAGGCCCCTGGCCTGCTGGACCAGACCAGCTGTGGTCTCAGACCACACCAGGCCAATGTCTCCCCGCCCACCCACCCCACTACCCTTGGTCATCTCGGGTCAGTCCTGAGCTCCCCAGGTGGCACCTGATTCAGGAAACAGATTTGAGGGTCACAGGTTTGTAACCTCCCTTCTGTGGCCCCACTTCTGCTGCCCTGGCTCTGGGATACCTCACCAGTCCTTCAAGCTTGTTGGTTCTCCTTCTCCAAGTGTGCTCCCAGTGGGCACCTCTATCACTAAGAAGGTGGTCACACCCTTGGTCGCACCCCCTTAGGGATGTATCGGGGTTACTGTGCAGCAATGTGACCCCCAGGGGTCTAGCAGGCCAGCAGCTGTGCTTGCCGACAGTGTCTATAACCAAAGCCCCAGACGGAGCCACTGTCAGGCAGAGTTGGCAGGAGGGCACCTGGGTCTGGGCTCTGGTTCTGAGTTCAAAGATCTCCTGGCCCAAATCTCCTTGGGCTTTAGCTGGTGGAGTGGGCCAAGGTGGCTCTGGAGTTGGTATTTGCCCCTTGTGGGGTGTGCTGGGGCCCAGGGGTACTGCACCCTCTTTTCTCTCATTGTGGGGTGCACTGGGGCCTGGGGGTACCTCATCCTCTGTTTTCTCTCCTCTCCTTGTCTAGGAGCTCCTGGCACAAGGCTGCGTGTTCCAGGAACGACATGGCTGGGAGAGGCCCGGATGGTTCAGTCCCCAAGGGGCAGCTCCAGTGAGTAGGGCCTGACCCAGCTTTCAAGAGGGACTGCCCACTGATGCAGGGGTCTGGCCTGCCTCAGTTCCTCAGCCCTCTCCCACCACCTTCCCACCCCACCTGCCCCCATGGGTACCATTGCTCTTCTCATCCTTCCCGCCCCCAAGTCCTGCATGAGACCTCCACGGACCCCAAATCACGATGGGGAGTCATGCACGAGATACCTCAGTATGCCCAGTACATTAACAGCATTTCTCATAATTTTAAGGAGCTGTAGTGGCACCATTTTACCAGAGCAGAAAGCCTCGTCTTTCTCCCGCAGAACAGCTGGTA